AGTCATAAACAAAATTGATAAAGTCATGAATATCATGCAGCTTTCATTCTAATGGACAGGACAGATGGTAACTGCAAATATAATATATGCATACGCCTGGTAGAAGTAAGTTCTATTAATAAAAATTAAGCAGGATAAACGGAAATAGAATTGTGCAGGGGACTAACATTCTCTCCATTTATTCTGATACAGTGCCATTTGAATAGAGAACAAAATAAACTGAGGGGGTGAGCCATGAAAATATCTAGGGGAAGAGACTACCAGGTAGAAAGAGTGGTAGGTATAAAGACCTTGATACATAAGCACACTCTGCCTGGTGCTTAGGATAAATAATGAGGACCTTGCGGCTGCATTAAAATGAGCCAGAGGAAGTACAGCACAAGAGGTCAGAGGAAGAGAGGGGAGCTAGATCATATAGAGTCTTGTGGGTCATAGCAAGCTCATTCAAATTTACCTGGAAAGAGCTGAGAAGCCCCGTAAATCTGAGGCTTTTGACCAGATTTATTAAGTATCTGACTGCTGTTTATAGAATCAACTCTAAGGAGGCAAGAATCTGCCGAAAACCATTGCAATAATTCAAGTGAAAGATACACGTGGCTTAGAATAAAGTAGTGATGGGCCAGGTGCGGTGGCTCACACCTGTAATCCCAGCACTTTGGGAGGCCAAGGCAGGTGGATCATGAGGTCAAGAGATTGAGACCATCCTGGCCAACATGGTGAAACCCTGTCTCTACTAAAAATGCAAAAATTCACTGGGTGTGGTGACACACACCTGTAGTCCCAGCTACTTGGGAGGCTGGGGCCAGAGAATTGCTTGAACCTGGGAGGCAGGGGTTGCAGCGAGCCGAAATCGTGCTACTGTACTCCAGCCCGGTGACAGAGTGAGACTCCATCTCAAAAAATAAAAAAAAAAAAAGGAATAAAGTAGTGGTGCAAGTGATTAATACGTATACACAATACACACACATTTGCATACATACATAAATATAAATTTTGTGTTGAAATGAAATGCATGTATACAAAGCACACATCATAGACATACAATTGGATGAATTTTTTTCTGTTGGGAATACTAGTGTAACTAGCTCTTACATTAAGAAACGGAACATTATAGCCCTAGAAACTCCCACACGCTAAATTGTAGTCATTACATAGGCCACCTTTGGCAAAGATAAGCAGTGTTCTTACTTGTTATGACAAATTCTTTAGTAAAGGACCAGAGAGTACATTTTTAGGCTTTATGGACCACATGTGGCTTCTGTCACAGTATTCTTTTCAGTTATTTTGATAGTTTTTCTATGTGTACAATTATATGTTAGAAATCATTTATGCCATCAAAAATTTGAGAACCTTGCTCTTCACTCTTCTACCTTCCAGAAAAATAGACAATTTTGAGCCCCAAATCTTTCATTTCCAACTTGTAAGCCCTAATATGAGGCAGCTTTTGATCCAGAGACTTGAGATTTTTTTTCCAAAAAGAAAAGTTATCTGCCCCATTCTCCTTCCAAGACATATGTGGACTCTGTTACTCAGTTTTGTCTTCACTGAATTATCCTAGCTATCAATAATGAATTGATCAAAACAATGAATGATAAAGTCTTTACAATCCAAATGATATTCAAATACTGCTCTTCTTTTAGAGAATAAAGCAATAGCTTCACTCAGTTCAGATTGCTCAGAGTCGGCAGCAGTCACTTGTAGAATCAGATGTTGGAAATTCCAGAAGCCTGTCCAACACCATGATAGTCTTGATCTAATCCAGAAGTACACTTTCCTCAGAATCAATATTTTAAAATATTATATTATCTGAAACTTAAATGTTAGACCTAAAACCATAAAAACCCTAGAAGAAAACCTAGGGAATACCATTCAGGACATAGGCATGGGCAAGAACTTCATGTCTAAAACACCAAAAGCAACAGCAACAAAAGCCAAAATTGACAAATGGGATCTAATTAAACAGCTTCTGCACAGCAAAAGAAACTACCATCAGAGTGAACAGGCAACCTACAGAATGGGAGAAAATTTTTGCAATCTACTCATCTGACAAAGGGCTAATATCCAGAACCTACAAAGAACTCAAACAAATTTACAAGAAAAAAACAAACAGCCCCATCAAAAAGTGGGCAAAGGATATGAACAGACACTTCTCAAAAGAAGACATTCATACAGCCAACAGACACATGAAAAAATGCTGATCATCCCTCGCCATCAGAGAAATGCAAATCCAAACCACAATGAGATACCATCTCATACCAGTTAGAATGGCAATCATTAAAAAATCAGGAAACAACAGTTGCTGTAGAGGATGTGGAGAAATAGGAATACTTTTACACTGTTGGTGGCACTGTAAACTAGTTCAACCATTGTGGAAGACAGTGCGGCGATTCCTCAAGGATCTAAAACTAGAAATACCATTTGACCCAGCCATGCCATTACTGGGTATATACCCAAAGGATTATAAATCATGCTGCTATAAAGACACATGCACACATATGTTTATTGCAGTACTATTCACAATAGCAAAGACTTGGAATCAACCCAAATGTCCATCAGTGACAGACTGGATTAAGAAAATGTGGCACATACACACCATGGAATACTATGCAGCCATAAAAAAGGATGAGTTCATGTCCTTTGTAGGGACATGGATGCAGCTGGAAACCATCATTCTGAGCAAACTATCACAAGAACAGAAAACCAAACACCACATGTTCTCACTCATAGGTGGGAATTGAACAATGAGATCACTTGGACACAGGAAGGGGAACATCACACACCAGGGCCTATTGTGGGGAGGCGGGAGGGGGAGGGATAGCATTAGGAAATACACCTAATGTAAATGATGAGTTAATGGGTGCAGCGCACCAACATGGCACATATATACATATGTAACAAACCTGCACGTTGTGCACATGTACCCTAGAACTTAAAGTATGATAATAAAAAAAAGAAAAATAAATGAATAAAATATTACGTTATCTAAGAAAAGGAATACCTGACTACCAAGACAGTTTTAGAGATACTTAGAAGGGTTCCCTAGGATGCTCATTACTACTTCACTAGGGATATAGTAATCATACTTAGACAATACACTTGCTGCAATTCCCATCAAAATACCACCGTCATTCTTCACAGAGCTAGAAAAAATCCTAAAATTCATATGGAACTCAAAAAGAGCCTGCATATCCAAAGCAAGACTAAGCAAAAGGAGCAAATCTGGAGGCATTATATTACCTGACTTCAAACTATACTATAAAGCCATAGTCACCAAAACAGCATAGGACTGGTATAAAAATAGGCATATAGACCAATGGAACAGAATAGAGAACCCAGAAATAACACCAAATACAGTCAATTGATCTTCAACAAAGCAACCAAAAACATAAAGCTGGGAAAGGACACCCTATTCAATAAATGGTGCTGGAATAATTGGCAAGCCACACATAAAAGAATGAACCTGGGTTATCATCTCTTACCCTATACAAAAATCAACTCAAGATAGATCCAAGACTTAAATCTCAGACCTGAAACCATAAAAATTCTAGAAGACAACATTGGAAAAACCCTTCTAGACATTGGCTGAGGCAAAGACTTCATGACCAGGAAACCAAAAGCAAATGCAATAAAAACAAAGATAAATAGATGGGACTTAATTAAACTAAAAAGCTTCTGCGCAGCAGAATTATTACTGAGTTTCGAGAATGTGTGAGGCCAATACCCTTGTCAAAAGGGATTCCCTAAGTTAACCCTCAGGTTCAGTGATTTGCTAGAACTCAAAGAACTCAGAAAATCTGTTTTACTAATGGTTATGGCTGATTATAGTGAAAGAGAACAGACTAAAATCATCTAAGGTCAAAGGCTGATAGAGCAGAATCCAGGAAAGACTAAGTTCAAGCTTCTATTAATAGTTGTTCTCTCCTAGTAGAGTCCCACAGACAGCACCTAATTCTTCCAGCATCAATCTGTAACAACACAAATGGGGTGTTGTCAACAAGGTAAGCTCATCTGAGACTTGGTGTCCAGGATTTTATTGGAGCTTGGTCAAATAGGCATGGCATGCCCATGAGGCTGACCTTAGTTTCTCTGCCTTCAGCCCTTCCAGAGGTCAAACTGATAATTATGTGGCCCAAGGCCCCAACCATAACTTAACATTGTTAGCATAAACTGCCTCACATGGCTGAAGGCTCCAGGTAAACAGACACTCTTATGAGGTACCATATTCTAAAGGCTTAGATGCTCCTAGTAGCCATTCCGGGTCCCATCCTTCCTTTGGAATGGGCAAGGTTTAGACACCTCAGACATGCTGAGTCAACCTGTCCCTGCACAAGCGTATTTTATCGCTCAAATTTAGGAGATGCAGCCTTTATACAAGATCTCTTTCCATAAATTTCCCAAGCAGAATAACTCCAATTTGAGACCACAATTTTATCCCACATATGAAAGAGCTATCTTTCCCTCTTCTGGTTGAAATTCACTTATCTCCTGTCTACCTCCACCAGATTATAGCATGTTTTATTCTATGAAATGTTTTGCTATTGCTATATTATTCAACATTTGAAGGCTCTGAAGAACTGACTCAGTCAGATATTGCTATGCAACACACAACCACAAATATCTCCGTGGCAAACAATACTAAGCATTTATGTCTCGCCCTGGCACCTGTGAAGTGGCTATAATTATTTTGCATCTGTGAGAAGCAGCTCTGTTCTATTTGTCTCATTTAGAGTTCCCAACTGGAAGGGTAGTATCTACCTGGGGTTCGTTTTTCTCATGGCTTTAACAGAAGCACAAGATGATAAGCATAAGGGCTTAACCATATTTCAAGCCTCTACTCATGTCACACCTGTTAATATCCATTGGCCAAACTAGTCATATTGCCAATGCCAAAGTCTAGGGACAGAGAAGTACATGTCACCAACCGTGTAGGCCATGGCAAAGGAATGGATGAATAATAATTCCACAGGTAAGTGAAGAATTGAGAAGATTATTTTACATACCTCCGAGGACATAGTGCAATGGAAAAATTTAGGAAGTTTTTCAAATCCTGGTTTGGCTACTTGTTCACATACATAGATGCAGTTACTCAGCATTTTCATTACTTGGTTTTCTCATCTCTAAAAAAGAAATAAAATAATTATTCAGAATTTTGTTGTGATGATTACAGATGTTATATATGAAGTGCCTAGCACAGAGTCCTGATAATAAGTACACAATTAATGATAACATTTATTATTATAATGAAGATGTCTCAGAGCTTCCTCCTCAGAAGCACTAATGAGGATAATAACAGCTGATATTTATTGAGTATCTACTGTATACTCACTATTATCCTAAGAATGTAACAGGTAGAAATTCTTTCATATGATTTTTGTGTGTGTGTGTGAACAAAAGAAGGTGAGAAAAGCTAAGAAACATGCCTAAAGTTAGCTTTCATTGTATCTCAAACTATCTCAAAACCAAGTGGCTTAATATAACAATTGTTTGTTTTGTTTATGACTTTATGGGCCAGCAATGAGGGCTGGACTCACCTAGGTTGCTTTTCTGGACTCATCTGGATGCAGGCATGTATCTGCAGTCAGCTGCTTGGTTGGCAAAAGCTATCTATTCTAGAATGGCCTTGGCTGTTATGGCTCATTAGTGTTCCAGTGACCTCTCATCGTCCAGCACAAGAGCCTCGGCTTATTTACCTGGTGGCTGGGAAGGGTTCCAAGACAGCAAGTGGGAAAGTTTGCTTGAGGCCTTGGCTTCTGATGTGTCATCACGTTTACCTCTTTCTATTAACCAGAACAAGTTACAAGACCAGTCCAGACAGAAGGCAACGGAGAAGAGAATCCATCTCTTAATGAGAAAAGTGGCAAAGTCACATTACAAAGAGCATGGAGGCAAGAAGGAGTAAAGGATTATGAGCCAATTTTCTAGTTTACTACAATCTGCCTCTGGCCACAATTTTCACCTTTCTACCCATGTACAACATCCTCTTCCTTCTCATAGGATCCCTAAAATTCTCATGGAACTATGACATCAGGCTTGAATTCTAGAATTCAATTATCCATTTAAAGTTGAGAGGAAGCCCATTAAATGTAAATGTTTTTGATCCAGAGAGTCATGAAATTTTAAAAAATATATGTCCCGTAAACATCCAACCTGCAATATTAATACAGGGATAAGGTAACTGATAAATACTGCCATTCTGAAAGAAAAAAATGGGAGGTACATAGCAATTACTGGTCCATTGGAAATTTAAAATCTAGGTAGAAAAATGTTGTTAGGCTCCCCTACCTGGGAGGAGTAACTATTCGTTAAGGCAAGGTGCTGGTTTTTGGGGGTGGTTTCCCAGTTTTTTGTTTTTCATGACTATTGGATCTTGACTCTGCTCTCTAGAACATTCTCTCTTTTTAATTTCCTTCCTTAGCCTTTTGAAAAACGTTCTCAGTCAGCTTCTGGATCATAGAAAGTTGCACCCACAGAGACCTTTTTGCAATTTAAGTAAAATCATTCTTTCAAAATTCAGGTTGATGGCACTTTTATAAATTCAGTTTCTTCCAAATCATGGTGGACTTACTATGAGTTTAATTTATGTGCATGTCATTTGTTGGAAAGCCATACCCTGATTGTTTTCAAGACATGCCTCTCTGTATAGACTTATTTACTCTGGGATTGGGCTTCTGTGAGACCATACTCTTACAAAGTTGAGGAGCTGTATTTTTTAGTTTGAGAGAGAACCAGACAACATATAAATTCTTTCAGATTTCTTAACAAAGGATTGCGGAGCTACACCCTTGAATTGATTTTTTTTCTTCTTGATGCCTCATTTTACTTTGAGAATTTTTACTGGATGGAAAGACAGAAGATACGAAACAATTATATTTTCCCACCCAGAAAATTCTGTCCCCTCTGTGTTCCCTCAGAATTCTCCTTGCAAGCTGGCCATGTCTTTATTTAGACCATTTCTTTCTTCTTGTACCTATATGTAGCTAGGACCAACCATCTGACATTTCAACATTCTGTGGAGGTCTCTTTAGCCAAAATCAAAAGTTCATTATATACACTGGCCATCTTTCAAGTTTCTATAGGCAACACTTTTGACAATTATTTTATTCTCAAAAATACAGATCACCATTTTTTTCCTAACCTCCAATAACAATTTGATTTTTTTTCTCCGCATTTGCTAAGAGTTTGTTTGCCATTTTTCCATCCTCTGCTCAGTGCTTACTGCCAATGGCACTTATTTTAGATTTTTGTTATGGCAGCACCTCAATTCTAGGAACCAATTATTTCTGCATCAGTTAGCTTTTGCCATGTTAAAAAAATCACACAACTTCGCAGCTTAAAACAACCATTTCTTTTATTTTTCAGCACATAATTCTGCTGGTCATTAATATGGACTGGGCTCAGCTGAGCTTGTGTTTGCAGTCAGCTGCCAGGTCAGCTAGGGACTAGAGGTCTAGAATGGCCTCAGCTGGGGCTGCTTCCCTTGGTTCTGTGTTTTCTCATCATCCTGCAGGATAGCCTGGGCTTGTTCTCATGGTGACTGGTCGGAGTTTCACGAGAATGAAGAGAGGCAAGCTAAGGTTTTTGGGGCCTAGACTTAGAGCTAGCACACCATCACTTATGCTGCATTTTATTGACCAGAACAAGTTACAGGGCCAGCCAAAATATAGGAGAATGGCAAATGGACTCTAGATGTTACATTGTAAAGGATATAGATATTCAGAGTACAGAAGAATTAGGGATCCTCTTCCAATATACCATACCTCTCACTATTAGTAAATTTTGTTACCCTTACTGTTTTCTCAAAAACACTATTAAATTGGTATTATTCCATGGAAAAGCATGACTGTGGCTTCACCAAAACTTTTCTGCTTCCTTGAGCACAGACACTAACTTTCTGACCACACAACCTGACTATATATGTATTAGTATCCTACTCCCGAGCCTTCTCACTGGTCTACTTGTTTCAGTAGGCAGTTCCCAATCTGACTTTTGCCTACCTGCCTCTCTCCATCTTTGTACAATTCTAACTGGTTGAATCCAGGCCTGTAGATTTGCTTGTCTTTGGGTGGCTTCTGATCTTCAACCACCTTATAAGCAACAGCAGCACCAATCAGTCCGTTGTTTGAAGGAAGGCCCACTTACGTAACTCCTGCATGCCCCACCTCAGTGATGATCATGTTCCATAGTCCCCTCTTCCATTATGCACCTTCTTCTGATCACCTCCACTACTGGGCTTTTCTCATGAGTTATAAGTTATCTAAAAAATTGATGTGTCAAATATGTAATTTTATTTTCTTAATCTTATTGTAATCTATAGAGGACACGTCTAATTTGATTTTCTTGTATTTTATCATAAAAATTTCTTTTTATATTTTTGCTTAGAAGGTATATGGGTAGGACTGAATAAATAGGTGATAGGGCTTATTATATAACAGAAATTAATAATTGATTTGCCTCATGGTCAATTAATTAATTTGTTAATAATTACCTAATTATTGGTCAATTTTCTCAACATTCTACAGAAAAGAGAATCATATTGATTTTGTACAGAAGTAGAAGATTTTGCCAGAATGAAAATCTGCTTCATCAATCATCCCGTGATTTAAAGGGTGCAACCATCTAAATATAAAAATATTGGAAGAGTTGCTTACAGTTGTTTAGAGAAGCACCCTGAGCTGAGTGAGTCACCCTACATTTAAGCTCTGATTGGATTGGCTTGACACCCCCAAAAGTCAGAGCTCTATTGGGCAGAGTTCATGAGTATTATCTCAGAGGGGACTTATATTCATAAATGCTTACATATGACTTTTGCAGTAGCCTCTGGCCTAATCCTCTGTGGCTAGGATGGCATCTATTTTAACACCACATATATGCTCTATTGTGTAATGTGAAACAGCTAGTAAAAGTAGGAAAAATTTGTTGAAAATATGTTCTTCAAAAACTAGCTATGCAGAGAAGAGAAATACAGCTCCTACCAGTTCAATGGTGTTAACTCCATGAGTTAGGCCCAAATCCTCTTTTCAAGTCCAGAAATTGTTATAAACGAGATGTGAGGCTTGGCTACTTCTTTGACTTTCAAGTCTCCAATCTTTATTAAGTTTGATTTTCATCCTTTTATTTGTGTTTTTATGGATAGTTCTATAAAGGAAATATGAAACCTACTTAAGAACATTCAAAGAAAAAGGTGAAGATACAGAATTACACCAAAAGGCCACATGTTCATTAGGATGGAGAATAAAATCACAATGTGTCTCAAGATCTATTTAAAACTCCATTTATGAATATTTGCTTTTTCTCTGATTTTTTCTGAGAGCATAAAATAATTTTGAGATGATTCTGAATGTTTTAAGTTAAAGAAAGTTTGCGCATTAAGGGCACAAGAATCCTTTATAGTTCACATAAGCACACATGCACACATACACACGTACTAACATACATTTATTCCTCTTTCTAATCTACATTTGTTGGCCAACAGTATAGATGATGAAAAGGATATCCTCCCTCATTATATCAAATAGCACCACCAGCTTGGCTATGAATTTTACCCTGAAATAAGCAACATACACACACACATGCACACATGCATACATCTTTCTTTAAGTAGAAAATAACCCTAACTCTGATTCAATTCAATAACATATACTGTTACAAAATTAAGACATAATTGAGCAGCATTTTTGAGAGTTGATAATGCAAAATTGATATGTTATACTTTTCTCACTGCCCTTGATGTAATATTTAGCAAACCAGTATTTATTATGGGAATAATGGTAACACAATTGACAACCCACTGGGATAAATGGATATGTTTAGTTATATAAGTTATGGGAATTGCCTGTCATACTAGTACACCCATTTTAATTTGAGCTCTAGTGGAAAAATCAATGCTTAGAAAATGCAAGAGGGAAACAATGACTACAACATTTTTTAAAATGTCTAAGATATTACATGGTTTTTTTTTTTTTTGTAAGCAAAACTGAATAAGGATAGCTTTGTTTCCTAGAAAAAGCTAGATATAGTCCTAAAATAAAGTTGCACATGATTTTAAAGTAGATTCTCATTCATCTGTATTCTCTGGCCTTTATTAACATTAAGTAAAATATGTAATAATTTGAAAGTAAAAATTGAAGAAGAGTTCAACTTCAAAATGAAAATACCTCGAAATAAACTCCTTTATCCCCATGAAACATTTATTTTGCTTCATGCATGTTAGTTCATAGGCTTTCCCCCTTGAGTCCCCAGTGTAACATTAAAGAGAATTTAAACATTTCTTTCTCAGCATGGAAGCTTACGAGCTAAATAAGATGGTAACATGAGCAGAGACTCACAAGGTAGGCCTCCCTTCCCACTTCAGACCAACTTGCAGATTGGCATTCTCCTATATCAGACCTCAGGATGATATCTAGTCAAAATCTTTACTTGTCCAAGAAATTGTGTCATCCAAGAAATAAACATACCCTCTAATCTCTTTGCTGTAAAGTAAATGAGCTTTCAGAACAATTAGGATTATACAGAGTTAAACTGAAACGCCTTAATGTGTACAACAAAGTTAGTTTAGAGATAGTGCCAAAGGTTGATATGTGAAAGTCAATATGGCTCTTGTCCTTTGGTGAAGACATGGAACACAGGGTTTCTGGAACAGAATTAAGCTTCCATTTCTGGACGTATGATGGAAGCTATGTCTTATTCATGGAGGTCATAAACAAACCCAGGAAACAAAATCAATAACTTTTGGAATTCTCTAAGCCATGAAGCAATACACTTCTGACCAAGAAGAATCACCTGCTGTGGAGATTTGGTCTGGGCCTGATACGTTTGCACTGAAGTCTTCTCTACTCAGATCAGGAAAAAATGTTTGAATGGGGGTGATTCAATTCAGAGGGAAACACAGAGAAGCAGTTTGAGAATTCTCTCATTTTGGCCTGCTATATATGATATATAAATTTTTGGGTTTTTAGGAGTCTGTTTAGGAAAGATATATA